CATTTGTGGCCCTTTGTGGAATGGATTGAAAAGGGAAGAAGAAGAGGATCAAAGAACGGAAATACAACTTGAATGCTTCATAATTTACAGTGTATTTTATCATTGATGTAATTGTTTAGATCTTGTGTGTGTGTGTGTGTATGTGTGTGTGTGTGTGTACATGTATATTCTTGTATATGTTGAAGTGATTATGTACACGCTTGTGCTCTGCGAAAAAACATTTCATTAATACTGTCATATCTTTAACACTAGAACTTCCAGAGCAGTCAATTTGACTGGTTTTATTTTTAAATGCATTATTACTGGGCATATGTACACTTGTGGTCTTCATAACTTTGTGACTTTCTGTATGTTCATCAACGTTTTGTGCACTTGTTAAATGTGAGTGATGGTGAAACCCTTGAAACTCACTTCGTTGGGGAATTTCTCTGAATCCTATTGGTTTGAATGGGGACAGTCAAAATGACGACAGGGTCTGAACAACCCCTTTTCCTATTTCTTTCTCTTGTTTCATTTTATTTTCTATGAAAAAAATACCCTGTAACATTTGTGAAATATTTATTTTATCTCTTTTCTGTGCATTCTCATTCTAACAGTCTATTGTGTGCGCCTAGTGCACTTTTATAGAGTAAACTGAAGACATGTATGTAGATTTTTACTTATGCATGACAAAGCAATTTCCCAGTTTGTGACTTCCTGTTACTCACATGGCAATAAAAAGGATTCTGATTCTGATTTAGTGTAATATGTTAAAGGCAAACAATTACATTGAAATGTGATCAAATGAGCAATATACTTAATTTTGTTCATGTTTTTTAGTGTTACATAATTATGTAACATAATGGGAAAAAAAGAATCCAAACTCAAGAAACATGCGGAACACAGTAAGAGACTCAGCTCAGTCTAACAGCTGCAGTCAGGAGCTCTGCCTCGGCGTGACCTTTTCGCACCAGCAGAGAGAGCGGTGATTATAGGAAGAAATCAACAGTGAAAGTACTCAGACTATGGCACCAGTGGGCGGCGCGGCGGCTGAGAGGGTGTAGTGCTGATGCCTCACAACCAGAAGGTCTGGCTGGTCAGGAAACTAGTTACTTTCTCCATAAATGCCATCTTTAATTTCTGCATTCACTTTTTATTTCAACCCCAATTTTCTCTCAGCTGAAGGACCAACACAGAGCAGGTGACCTGGCACAACAGGAGGATTGAAAGATCTCTGGCTACCATCTCCCAAAACTCAGCAACCTGTGGACTCTCTCTAATCGAGTGGAAGAAACTCCAACTTGCCTTAGCAACCACCTTAGTAACATGTCTGCCCCTGAACCAATGCCCATGTGTTCGGAACTGAGGCGGCACCCCCTCCACGCCTGGGTGCCTCAGTCCTGCATCATGTGACCTCTGTCCTTGTTCTACAGCCTGTGTCCTGGATCTACAGCCTGAGTCCTGGATCTACAGCCTGAGTCCTGGATCTACAGCCTGAGTCCTGGATCTACAGCCTGAGTCCTGGATCTATACAGCCTGAGTCCTGGATCTACAGCCTGTGTCCTGGATCTACAGCCTGAGTCCTGGATCTACAGCCTGAGTCCTGGATCTATACAGCCTGAGTCCTGGATCTACAGCCTGAGTCCTGGATCTATACAGCCTGAGTCCTGGATCTACAGCCTGAGTCTTGGATCTACAGCCTGAGTCCTGGATCTACAGCCTGAGTTTTGGATCTACAGCCTGAGTCCTGGATCTACAGCCTGAGTCCTGGATCTATACAGCCTGAGTCCTGGATCTACAGCCTGAGTCCTGGATCTATACAGCCTGAGTCCTGGATCTACAGCCTGAGTCCTGGATCTATACAGCCTGAGTCCTGGATCTATACAGCCTGAGTCTTGGATCTACAGCCTGAGTCCTGGATCTACAGCCTGAGTTTTGGATCTACAGCCTGAGTCCTGGATCTATACAGCCTGAGTCCTGGATCTACAGCCTGAGTCCTGGATCTACAGCCTGAGTCCTGGATCTACAGCCTGAGTCTTGGATCTACAGCCTGAGTCCTGGATCTACAGCCTGAGTCCTGGATCTACAGCCTAAGTCCTGGATCTATACAGCCTGAGTCCTGGATCTACAGCCTGAGTCCTGGATCTACAGCCTGAGTCCTGGATCTACAGCCTGAGTCCTGGATCTACAGCCTGTCCGTTTGTGGGAGCGGATCCCTCCCTCACTGTGGGCCTCCCTGAAGTTTCTTTCTTTTCTCCCACTGAGTTTTTCCTTGCAGAAGCAGGAGGGTCTAAGGACAGTGGTGATGATCCAATACGTTTGACATTTATTGATATTTATGGACCAAATAATGGCTCTAGGTTTTTTCATTTAATTTTTACTTATTATTTTTTACCTTGGCTTACTTTTGAATGTGCTTTTTTTCTGTTGTTTCTGCAGTCCAGTGTTCATGGTATTGCACTGGTCCAGACCGGAGCGGAGAGGATTCTCGGATCAACTAAGTGGATCAGGCAAAAATTCTAAGGAAGGAAGGCTAACTTTTTGAAAAATGCTAATGAAGTATTTTTCATTTTACGTTGAACTAGAGCAGAGAAAATGGTCCAAACCAAGCGGCACCACCTCTGCTGCTGTGACCTGTAGTGCTGTTGCTTATTATTACTATTGTTGGCTTTTGTTTGTGAGGCAGGATGGATGTGTTTTTGCTGCTACTGGACACGTGAATTTCTTCTATGGGAATCAATAAAGTTGATCTATCTATCTCTGTCTATTCATCTATCTTTATATCATTGTATTTCTTGTTTTTGAACTGTTTGATTCTCTGATCTGTGTTGGCTAATTGACAACATTGTAAAGTTCTCCGCGAACTTTAAGATTGAATTGAATTGAAAAACTAGTTATTGTTTAAATCTCTGTGGTGGTTGAAACACAAGTAGAACAAGCAAACTCCAGTCAGGAAGGCGATGCACCACTCCCGGGAGTCAAACCCACAACTTTCTCCCGACAGGCGACAGCTCTAACCACTGCCCCACCACAACAAAGGGAAGCTTGTGTTCGGGGAAAGCCACCACACACCACTTCCTCTTATCTTCTGTCCAAGTCAGGAGCAGGAGCCAGTCATGTGACAAACAGGAAGTGACAGCACCTTGTTTGCAAAAATACAATCTGTCAGGACGCAAATTACAGCAGGACACCTCTGCCACTCGGACAACGTGTTTTTACCGCATGCGCCCCCCAAAATATTCATGAAACTAACGGGTCTTTTTACCATTCCGCTCACATCTCTTCTCCTCCAATCTCCTCCTGGGTAATTGCCTGGTCCTAAACTTATCCCAGTGAGTGGAGAGAGCGGCTGAGTCCTTTGTGTCAGAGAGAGAGAGAGAGAGAAAGAGAGCGCACTGATTGTTCACAAATAAGCAGCAGCAGAATCATCCAGAGAGCAGCGATAAGGAGCTACGTCCTCGGCCCAGCAGGAGGAGACCATGTTTATTCTGTGCTGTAAATTTGAATTCTACCTGAAGACTTGATTTAAAAAAAGGTTCACATTAAGATTAAGAGATCCTTTTCTCGTCCAACAGTGGGGACATTTCAGTGTTGCATTATGGGCTACACAACAGTAGGGACGAGGAGCACACAACACACGATAAATGAGTATCAATATAAAATCTCTATCTTTATCTTAAAGACGAATCAAAGTGTAAAACACTGTATAATCTAGTGCAAATAAACAACTTAAACATACGGTATGTCCGTAGATACATTTTATACAAGAATATTGAGGTAGTAACATAAGTAATTATTACTAAATCATTTTAAGATATACATGTGAGAGATAGAACTTTTTAACAAGGACTTTTACTGCTTTTATTTTTCGTGTGTTTTGCTGTGTTTTAATGTTTTTTATTGCATGCATTTTAATCAGTGCTTTGGACACTTCCCCTAATCACCCACACCTGTTTTTAATCAAGACCTTTTAATTGGGGGCGGGCACTGCAGCACCACAGGAGAGGCGAGACAGAGAGCACAGGGAGGACCAGAGGACGAGGACGAGCACGAGCACGAGCACGAGCACGAGCACGAGCACCGCCAGCCTGAGACCACGGGGGACTGAGGCCAGCGGGGGGAGCGGCACCGGTGAGGGGGCGCGCATTGAGAGCGCATGAAGACGCGTGCGCGCCCGGGCTAGGCCCACCGACGACCGGGATGTGCCGGCTCTCCCGGCGTTGGGAGTTGGGAACTCCAGATGTTGATGCTCGGCTTGGTCAAGACCAGAGCTGGAGGATTTAACCTAGTGAGCATTTTACCAAGTGTGCATTTTAGTGGTAGGGGAAATCAGAGCACCTGGAGGAAACCTATGCAGGCACAGGGAGAACATGCAAACTCCACTCAGAAAGCCCCTGTTCCGACCAGGATTCAAACCCAGGACCTTTTGCTGAGAAGCGGAAGTTGTCTTATATGAATTGTGCCATAGAAATCGCACTTGCCTAATGTAGAGTGTTCCTCTGTGTCTTTACACTGAAAAGGAAAGTTCCCACAGGCCAACAGACCCTCTGCACTTACTGGACAGTATTCCTCAGGGTTTGGCAGTGACCGAGCCAGGACTTCCACAGGACCAGTGACCACCCAAGGAAAAGAGTGTACCCCTGTGCTTCTTTTCTGACTGAATAATATTAAAGACAAAATGTGTCCAAAATGGACGATATTCAAACCTTTTTAGCATAAGAAATCCTCTTGAGGTGCAGATGAGTCAGTAAACGTTCTGTTCAGTGCTCAGCGCCCCGCGCTGGAGTCCCGTAGGGCTCTCCTGTACCTGCCGAGTGTTGCCTCAGTGCAGGAAGCTCTGGAGCCTTGCATCAGCCTTTTAATCCGCTCATTAATGAAACATGAAGCTCGCAGAATTATAATCATTGTTTAGCAACTGGAAAGCACCGTGGGCACTATTCATCTTTTTCAGATGCCAATACTGCGCGAGTGCCAGCCGCGGCCGCCCCGCTCCGTCTCAACACTCAATAAAAGCCGCTAATTTATGCAGTGCTGCAGACGAATGTGCGACCGTGCTGCTGATCGCCTTTCGGTCCCAGAGGAGGAGCCTGGGCAGCGGTCTGCAGAGGCCCAGGACAAGGGGAGCATGACCTCCACAAACCTGTGCATACAATCATACGTGTACTTCAACTACACTAGACTTATAAAATATTTAAAGTAATTACTAAATACTGTTTTCATAATTTTATATTTTTTGTTGACAAATAAGTACTGTATGCCATTATCATAGCACCCAATACAATACTGACTTATATTGCTTTAAGAGAAAATACTTTAAGTATTTATTTTGTAAGCGTAGTGGTCCATTAATAACAATGTGTTGATCGAATTATAATGTAATTCAAACAAGATGTATTGGACGAGGGTAGCAGTGACGCAACTGTTAGTCTAAACAGTTTATAAATATGTAGTGGGCATAAAAACAGAAAAGTGTCTTAAGACAAGAGCAGAGCAAATCAAATCTCTTCAGAACACATTAACATAAATATAACAACATTGCTGGCATGCACTTGTTTAAAACACCCATATTCTGCTCTGAATTTGCTTGATCGATTTTATGGTTTAAACTGGGAAAATCTTCAATATTTTTTTATACTTGGTATATTTCACTTTTTTGTCAGTATGAGTCAGAAAAGGACAAGTATTTGGCAGTTTGTGAAGTAACAGTATGTAATTTACAGACTAATGCATCTTCCCAGGGAAACACACAGCTTGAAATCCCACAATCCATCAACCAAAAACTGAAATACACAGCATTCATTGTTCCGTGTTCTAATTTTCAGCAGAATGTTGTGCTGTAGACAAGTAACCAACACAGAAATGTGCTGGAGCTCCCGATAGATCAACAAGAACACGGTGTGACTGAGTCGGCTCAAGTCTCCTGGCTTTTTTGTGGTTGTAACATCTTTCAACTACGATGAGCATGTCCTCCAGCCAGCCCACCTGCACACACATTTACACTTTACACATCGACACATAAAACTGCGAGGAAATTTAGAACTAAACATGGAAAAAAAACAGTATTAATCAATAGATTCTACAAGTTTTCTTCTGAGGAAGAGTTTTGAAGTGATGCAAAAATACAATTTTGCACCTAAATAAAGAATCAATTTGTAGAATTGGGCAAGACAAAGCAACCAAGTCTAATGTAACTGAATAACAGATTTATATATATATATGGTCCAATAATTAAAAATAGGTTTGTTGCTTTCTGTTCATGTCTGCACAAATGTTGTGGAGTGAAAAACAGTTGTGATCAAAAGCAAGAATGTGCTATACATTAGCAAAATAAAGATATTTATAATAATCAATGCAGGTGCAGTAGTTGTTTTAGTAGTAAAATAGCATGTATTTGTGTAAACATTCTTGAACACCTAAACTCCAGTCAGTGTCTCTCACCTTCAGGGCGGTGTCCCACACTCGCTCTGACGAAGCCCCTGTGTCGGCCAGTTCATCCAGGAGGTCTGCCTGGAGCTGCAGCAGCTGAACACAAGATCAGGGTTTAGCTTCAGACCTCAACACTATTTACTCAACAACTGGATGGAAGCGTGACCTGCACAAGGGCCGGACTGAACCAGGAACAGAGAAATCCCAATCCTGCAGATCTTGCTGGAGCTTCAAAAGGAACTTCACGTCAGAAGAGAGTCAAAAAATATATACTTACTTGATACTCACTGGATTGATGTGGTAATCATTAACTAAAGGCAAGTTTTAATAAATTTAAACTTCTGGTGTTGAGTTGCAGCGGTGCTGCACTTCAGCAAAGACAATAACCTGCGCTTAAGTTCTATGTTTGGGTTTCGGAGCAGCTGCGAGAGCTCCTCCAGCTTATTGGCTGCAGTGGCGCTGTACAAATGCTCAAAAAGAGGATTCACAGGTCACTTCATCCACACATTTTGCTTCAGTGTGAATGGACTGTACAGCGGAAGGCACAGCACAGTGAACCTGAATGGACTGGACCATAGTTCTATACTATAAAGGAGTTTTTATTATGTGTCTTAAAGGCATAACTTGGTGGGGACATCATACCAATGTACTTGTCATTTTTTTTTCATTCCAAATACGCAATTACATTTTCCAGGCATAGCTGGTGGTCGGATGGAGTCCGGTTTGAGAACCACAGGATTTCTCATCTCTGCTGTTTCATGACAATGCACCAATGCGCAGTGTGCGGCGACAGGGATGAAAAGCAGCACCAAATGCAAAGCCAGCACTGGATGGGAAATAGGTTCCTTTCTTATTCCATAGTTTGATGGAGAGGTACTTTCTCAAGTAGAGGAGTTAAAGATTATTACCTAAAATGCCTAAAATGTATCTATTACGGCTGTCAAACAATTACAATTTTGAATTGAGTTAATAACAGCTTAAAAATGTATCAATCGTAATAAATCACATTTCAAATTATTGGCAAAATGATTCCATATTTTACTGTAAATCGTTGTTTGAATGGAAAGATAAATGACAATATAGTGTACTGTACATATGTATTTGTTTATTATAACAATAAATCCACATAAAATGACATTAACATTATTAACATTGTCTTTTTCTGTAAAAGACAGTTTATTTTCTAAGTTGTAATAAAAGTTAATTAAAAGTTAAGCTCATTGATTCAGCTTGTGTGTGAATTCAGACTATAAAACTTGCTGAGTAGAGACTTTGCGTGACGCTCGTTCTCCTAGGCCACGCCTCCTCTAGCGTCTGCAGCACATACAGTATGTAAACAGAGCAGCACGGCAGCCTCTGGCTGTAACTGCAGACACAGCAAAACAGCCCAAACAATGCCAAAGTGAGGAGGAGAAGAGGGAACTAAAACAAAAAAATGATCAAAGAAAAAATCAAGCCCGAGTGAACATAGCTAGCTTACATTGTATCCTCTGGAGAGACCTACGGGTGCAGACCGCCTCGGACGAACTTTGGACGCAAAACTAGCGGTAATCTTTCAGTTATTGTACTGTGTATTTTGTTATCAGTGCATTGCTTTGGTACCATTTCATCAGTGATTGTTGTACAGCTTATAAGAAGTTGTGTTAATGCTAACTAACGCCTACCTGCTCTGTTGCCATCTCACACACATGTGTCCACGTCACTTCTGAGTGTTATTATGGTATGTATAGTATGTATGGCATGGGCGGGTCAACGCAATTAATTAAACAAATTAATTAACGTGTGTTAACGCAATAATTTTGACAGCCCTACTATCTTTATAGCACTGACGCAAAATGCATTGAACAGCTACATCTCTTCTAGAGTACAGTCGTAAACAACTTTCAACTTTCTTACCTCTGTGATATGAACATTAGAAACCCATTTGAATAATAAGTATAGAGGGTGGTGAAGAAGCAAAATGAGGTAGATGAACCATCCATCCATCCATCGTCTTCCCCTTAATCCATTTCTGGGTCGGGGGGTGGCAGTCAGAGCTGCATGCAGTACACAGAGCACCAGCCCCTCACTGATCCTCCTGCAGGTGCTGAGTCCACAGGAGGATGGCTGCTCTGGTCTGAGCAGAGTGGAGCTAAGTGTCTTGCCCAAGGACACAACTGAAGCAGACATTAGTGCAGGGAGCAGACGAATTGAATGATAAAAGCACATTTCCTTAACTCTCCAACATTACTTTGGAATGCAGCATGTAAATCCATTTCTATCTCTCACATCCATTTTATTTTGGCTCTAATTTGCCCCAGTGCCTTTTGGGTAAACTTGTGGTGGTAGAAAAACTTGACGGTAGACGCAGTCCATTTGCTCCTGTCCGGTTTCCTGCACCAGTGGACGGTGTCATTAGGGCGGCGTGTGGACACTGAACCAGCTCTGTCCTCTCTCTATGGAAATGACTCCAGCTTCTATCTCCAGTGCACAGAAGAGGCCTCGTCACGGATGGACAAAGAACAGCCCCAATTTCTCTGAATTATTAGTTTAAACTTCAAACAGCCGGAACCTGAATTTTCTTCCAGTAGTTGATCATAATACAGATATGTTGTAATACAGATAAAACCTCTCATTAAACTGCTAACTTTTGTTGTGGAACAAACTCGACGTACAAGGGTAATTAGGACACATAGCCCTCAGGAGGACATTATTAAACAAACATTGTTTCATTCTGTGTTTGACAATCCAGTTCTTTCATGCACTCAGCTAAACCACCACATGGAGGAGACCCACACAAACCTTCTCTGTGTCACATTTTTCTGATCAACAACTCATTTTACTATTTCTTAAAAAGTAAAGTTCCTGAGCTTCCTTGATTGGACCGAAATACAAATTTGTAAAAACTCACGATCATGCGAGTTCAGTTTACGACGTAAGGTATCTTTAAAGCCACTAACTATTTATTGACAAATTCTCATCTAGTTTACTTTGTAAACCTATTAGATAATGAATAAAAGTAGGAGATGCATCCTTTGCAGACCATGGATCAAAGGAGGTCCCAAACACATAGTACCCTCTTACTTTGAATGAAAGCGAGAGATGCAGTTATTGTAACGTGCAAAGCAAACCATTCTGTGAAAACGCCATTGACCTGTCTGCTCTGCCGCCACAGTGAGCACAACAAAGGCAGCAGGTGGTTCTCCAACAAACACTAGACACACAACACGTACAGAGGTAAGTCGCTGTAAATGATATATAATTTAAATGATATAAGGCAGGATAACAAAGTAGATAAAGTGACATTCAGTGGAGATTTTGACATAGCACGGTGGCTGAGTGGATAGCACTCTTGCCTCTCAGCAAGAAGGTCCTGGGTTCAAATCCCAGTCAGACCAGGGCCTTTCTGAGTGGAGTTTGCATGTTCTCCCCGTGTCTGCGTAGGTTTCCTCCGGGTGCTCCGGTTTCCCCTACCACTAAAAATATGTACAATAGGTCTGGCATGCGCCTCCTGTTCCCATCTCTGTGTGGAGTGAGAGGACAAGTGCCCAAAAAATAACAATTGTAAACCGCTTTGTGACTCTGGTCTGTGAAAGGCGGTATATAAATAAAGATTACTTACTTACTTAGCAGACATCATACTTTATTTTCTACCCTTCATCTAAAGCAGGCATGTCCAAACTCAGGATCGGGGCCAATTGCTAACTCAAAGTAGTTAGTAGTAGTAATTGTGCTAATGTAGCTGGTGAGATGGCAAACATTTGAAACAGCTTTAAAACTAGCCTGGCTTTGCCAGACCCTTGTAGTTCCGCCATGCTCCACCAGAGGCGTTTGGCTGAACCACATGGGTCTGGTATCGACGCCATAGCGAACGCCTTCCCCAGATTATTTTTTAATCGACCAATCAGGATTGCCGGTGTTACGTGGGGTTTGCGCTGCCTTCTCAAGCTTCTCTCATGCAGCAGCGAGAGGAATCCAAGATGGCGGACGTAATGTCCGCAAATCTTTTTAAAAGAGTAAATAATGCAATTTGATGTAGATGGTTCTATGTTGATATATGTGTTTTTTATGAGTCAAATGTTCCTGTAAAGTTTGGTTGAAGCACTGGTTCAGTGTTCCTGTTTACACACCATGCAGCAGGGTTGCCAGGTTTGGTGGTTCCCGCATATTTTTTTCCAAGAGACTTGTAGGTATTAAATAAACAGAAAGACAATAAACAGAATCATGATAGCCCAAGTTGATTACATTAAGTTTTTAGCCAAAAAAATCATTGAGTGTTTTTTTTTTTGGGTTGGAAAATCTTGCTGGGATTTGGCAACCTATGGGAGCCGTGTGCTTCGATGTGAGTGGTTGAAAGCTGACTTCATTCAAGATAACGGACAAGTGGTCTATCCAATCACATACAAGGATTTTTTTTACAAGGCCCTGCCTTCTGAAATCCAACCACTAAGTACCAGACTCATGTGTGAAGTGCAGCGAACTACATGGGTCTGGCGAGAGTCAGGCTACTTTAAAACAGCTCTGCTTGTGTACAAGTCTCTCCATGGCCTCACACCATAATACATTAGTGACATGTTGGTGCCATACTGTATGAACCGGCCCGGACTCTGAGGAGCACAGGGACTGGACTTCTGTTAGTGCCCAGAGTCAGAACTAAACATGGGGAGGCTTCAGATTCATGCTGCTAAAATCTGGAACAATCTTCCTGATAATGTGAGACAGGCCTCTTCTCTGACAATGTTTAAAACCAGGTTAAAAACAGTTCTGTTTAGCTGGGCATACAACTGAGGGATTATATACTTTTATCTTTATTTTGAATGTACTGTGATTATTTATTATTTTTTTATTTTAATGCTATCTTGTTTAGGCATTGTCCTATACAACTTGCCTTGCCATTTGTCCTTCAGCCAACTTCAGATCTGTTATAGATCATCATAAAGCTCAGAACAGCCCGATGCCAGTTTTTCAGTCCATGATGTTTGCTCCTGGAGTAGTCTGGTGAACTAAAGTGGCCCTCTTACTAAAAAAGTTTGGACATCCATGATCTATAGCAATAGTTTTACCGTGCTGATTTCCTTCACATTCAATCACCGCTAACTAAACACGAGCTCACTTCACTGTCTGTGGGGGGTAATCTCACCGTTTGCCTGTCCCGCTGTGGGTTGCTGTTGGCGCTGGGGCAGAGAGGCAGGTAGGGGGCGGTGCTGAGCCGGGCCTGGCAGCACAGAAGGATCTGTGTGCGTTCTCTGTAGCGTCCCACTTTGGCCAACAGGGACGAGAACTGCAGGGACTCCATCAGGCCTGAGCACGGGCCAAACCCTGACTGAAGAAACATCACAGTAAGGAGTATTTCATTTCAACACATTACTTATACATTTATCATCATGGTACCTCTTGTTAGTTGTACCATGCTACTTTCATTGCAAACAGCATCTACAATCTCATTTCACTTCTACTGTCTCTCTACTTGGCCCTCCCCCATGCACCTCTTCAAATGAGAAGCAAAGAAGCACTACTTGGGAGTGGGAGGAGCCTTGTAGGAATGGATAGCACTCTCAGCAAGAAGGTCCTGGGTTTGAATCCCGGTCGGAACGGGGCCTTTCTGAGTGGAGTTTGCATGTTCTCCCCGTGTCTGCGTAGGTTTCCTCCGGGTACTCCGGAGTTAGTTTAGTTGACCCTAAAAACATCGGTTGCATCCTGTACTGGCGACCTGGTTCCTATCTCTGTGTGAAGTGAGAGACAAGTGAGAGACACAATTGTATAGCGCTTTGTGGCTCTGGTCTGTGAAAGGCGCTATATAAATAAAGATTACTGACTCAGTTGCTTGTAAAGACCTGTGTGCTTTAAGTATATTTCTTTTTTTTGGGCCACTCCTGATGTCGCAGGTGTTAGTTAAGTTGATTTTCTACATATTTAGTTATCTAAGTATATGTATTTAGCCATACCCCTCCGGTAAAAAAAACAAAAAAAATAATAATAAACATGCTGTTCACACAAGTTGTTCACCAAACCACCAAAACCATATTTCATTCCCTGAGTTGGCTGCAGGGGGCGCTGCTTTGGTGAATTTCACACAGTTTGACAGAAAAGAGCACAGTGTGAATATTGTGTTGTTGGTTTCGGTGCCGTAAAAGCAGAGCCGCGGTGAGAGCAGTGGGGGCCCTGGACTTCAGAGCAAGTTAAACGGTAGAAAACTGTCAGGCAGCGGGAGGCAGACAGATGGAGCCTGCAGGAGAAGCCGCTAACAAGACACGAATTATACACTAGGTTTGCGCTGGCAGTGACCACGGAAAGCTGAAAACAAAAAGTTGAAAGTGTCGAGGTAATGGCATTATATAATAAAAGGTACATTTGAAAGATTTTATTGTAGTCATTACTTTTAAGTTTTAAAATGTTCATAATTCTGTATAAATGTATAAGAGATGAAAAAAATAAATTACAGTAAAAAGCCACATTCACATAAAAAAACAAGTATTTCTCTGGCACTTTCCTGGTGGTGGTTTACATGAATGATGCCGGAAAAAGATAATATCTTTTTTGTCATCACGGCGACCAGGACTGATCATTTCTACCAGCCCCCAACCGCTTAGAACTGATCAGATTTTCTAAACTAGATTTTTGTCACATATAATAAATAAAATGTTAATTTGTTTATAAAATATAAATGTTGTGTTTGTTTTCTTGATACAATTATCTTTAAAATTATGCTAATGTATTCCAATGTGTTTTTTTTACTGCAAATGGCAAATAAACTGAATCTGAATCTGAATCTGATGTATAACGCGCCCTCATAGCGGGGCAACAGTAGCTCACTTGGTAGAGCATTGGCCCTTGAGCCTGAAGGTTGTGGGTTTGAGCCCACCACAAGACCTACTTCACGACTCCCACTGATGACTGCTGTCGATGCGTCCTTGGGCAAGACACTTAACTGAGTGTGTTCACAGTAAAGTGACAGTTGAAGTATCTGGATTTTAAAAGGTTATAACTTAAAAACTAAAATGACTTTCATAGATTGGAAAAAAGATTTCAAACACAGACACATTGAAGAGATAGTGTGGAAAAAATCAAAAGGAAAGATTGACATAAAAGTGTTTAGCAACATTTTAAACGACCAAATTAGCCTCTGATTGGACCATTCTACTGTGACGCCAGTTACATAGAAAATAAAATGTCCTCAGTCTGAAAAAGCAGAAGATGAAATCCCACAAGATTTACATGGTTGACACAACAGAAGGAAATCACTTGATATAAAAAGGAATCGTGAAAAAATAAAAATAAATTAATTAATTAAATGACCCCTGAAAAATGTATAACGGACGTGATGAGGACGGTCCTCTTTTCTCTAAAAATTAAACTTGAGAAAAAAAAATATCTGGTCTGTTTTCACATTTAATTGGTTGACAATATAAAAGTATCACTTTGCATCTACTTTGTGTAAAAAAATAGAATCTCTGAATCAAATGTGGATATCTGAAATTACCATCAAACTTCCACAAAGCTCATTCCGTCAAATCATCACGTCCGTTACATAAAATAAACAGGGCCACTATAGGAAACTTGTCTAATTTATAAAACAGTTATGTTCAAGCAACTTATAATGGACAGAGGAGGTGTTTGGAAACATGAAAAACATAAAATATCTTCTGATTATTAAAATCTGATTTTTGGCCTTTTGTCACACTTTTGTGCCCTTTAGTGTGAAAAAGCCCATCTACCACCTGCAGGAGGATCAGTGAGGGGCTGGTGCTCTGTGTACTGGGTGCAGCTCTGGCCCCGACCCAGAAATGGACTAAGGGGAAGATGTATGGGATGGATAGATGGATCATAGCCCAGACTCTCAGTGGGGGCCGCACTAACATTAAACATTAATGTCCACTAGGGGGCCACAAAACATATTTTCAAGCGCCGTAAATAGCCCGCAGGCCACATGTTATGAGGCCGCTGGTCTAAGGACAGTGACGATCGGGGACATACAGGGATATTTACACACATTTATGGACATTTACGGATAAGTCATCCCACCCCCGCCCCCATGAACCAATGACTCCTATTTTTTTTCTTTTGCACAAACCTTGAGTGATTCTATTTATGCCAAATGTGACATGTAAATTTCTCCTGTGTGAGATCAATAAAGTCTTTTCTTATCTTAAACAAAAATGTATTGAATTTGATAGAATATGCGAGTAGAAAAGTGTTGAATGAATGATAAATTAGCTGATAACAAACTGTAGCGCCAAAGCAGGTGATGGACCCTGCAACAGAAAACCTCGTTGGCGTGAGTGAAAAACATGTCAAACGTTACACAGGAGGAAGTTGATAACTTTAGTGCTTGTAAAGTTTGCTCTTTTTTCTGTATACACTCTGCCATTACGGTTTCTGAGTAATGTAATGCTAATATTTGCTCCATTTCAGATACGCCCTGTGCTGGAATTACATATTGACCCAGAGCCAACTGGATCAGTTCAAACAAACAAGAAGTTCTGATGGCACAACACATTATTATGTATGGAATTACAATTTGTTGTCTGCCCCCCACCATTACCTTTATTACTCAAGGAACGAATAGAAAAAGTCAATGAGTGGCAATTTTGAAGAATCTCAAAAACATTCAGCATTTGCGTGGTCTTCCATGGAGGCCAACATGCTCTTGTAATGGTCTTTTACACTTTTTGTCTGAATTGGACAGTATGTTTTCATTAACCGCATGTCCCTCTTATTGGTCATTCGGTCCTTACAGCGTGCGTTAAATCTGGCTTCACGGACACATCAGCTGAAATGATATGTGCGAGCGCTGATTGGAAATGAGTCATTCAGAGCCATCAGCGATCTCTGGCTGATGACAATGCAGTAAGATCCCCGTTAGCGGCCGTTGCTAAATGGCTCAACCCACTAAAGACTATCTAGCAGAGAGCCTTCATGCTAATGCTAACTTCATTCACCAACTACATCTATTCAGAGTGGCCTATATTCACTGAGACCTACATTCTGCTTCCCATTCTAAGAGTATGCTTGTAACTAGTTTGCTTTTGACTTTGTTTTTTTGTTAAGCAACACTGAGAGTCCAGGACCATAGAATTGAAATGTATTATTATTATTGTTAAGATAAGATATTCCTTTATTCGTCCCACAGTGGGGAAATTTCAGTGTCATTGTCGGGCACATTACAGCAGAGAAAGAAGGAAACAGGAGCACACAGATTGCATAAATAAAATAAAATAAACTCCGGAGCTATAATTTCACTTGGTTCAGAAGTATTTACAGATGTGTATATTGTACTTTATCAGTGGATAATATGAGCAGAATAAACAATAGTAACAATATCAGCAGGTAAAGTGACTAGTGAATGACAAATATCAGATGGATGGATATGTAATAATGCAGTAATAATAAAAATAGGTAAAGTGACGAGTTATTATTTGTTCATTCACTGCACTGTATAATAGATTTATGCCAAAACATATTCACTTGAATCTGTACTTGTGCACTTTAGTCCACCAATACTTTTAAGGACGATGTCAACTATATTTGCTAACAAAAGTAAACACAGATGAAAGTGCAGGGTGTATCCAAACAATATGATCATTTTGAAAATCAGACTAACAAATACAAAAAATCAGTCATTTTTTACTGTTGACGCAAGGATGGGCTTTGTTCCAATATTCTTGGGGGCCTCAACCCGCAGTGTATTCTTAAATAAAAAAAAATCACTTTGCAGGCGAGAAGATTCTATTGGCTATCTCATCAACATCCATCTATCCATTTTCTTCCCCTTAATCCAGAAATGGAAGAAGGGGATTATCAAAAGCAATTTATCTGTGTGAAGCTTTGAAATAAAATCCAAACGCAGACTAGAAAATTATGGAAAATCCTTATTCAATTTGAAATAAATAAAGTGACCTCTGCAATTAAGCAAATGGATGCATGTCTCTGTACATGTAGACCTTTCTTTTTACAGCAATGAAGAACCAAAAAACCCTACTGGAATGGGAGAACTGAGGTGAACGAGTCCCACTCAGGCTGTTTTCAGATTCCAAATTCCAAACAAACAATTCTGTCTTCTTCCCTCAGTGTGCATCCTCCAACTCAGGCCTCATCTACATTTCCAGACACACCCTCGGGCCCTAGGATTCTCACTTTTTTCCACTGCTCACGGTTTCTTTTTTGAGTTGTTCCTTGCCGATGCAGGAGGGTCTGAGTACAATGATATTCCTGAACTTTGAAGGATATTTATGATCTTTTATTGACATTGATATCCCGCTCCCAATGGACCAATGGCTCCTATTGGTCTGTTATTAGTACATTTTCTGTGTTCTAGATTGTTTGATTCTCTTATTTTTTGTTGGTGAATTGACAACTGTGTGCTCAAAGACGGCCGCTATTGTGATTTAGACCTATACAAAAATACATTGAATTGAATGGCAAGACTGTTATAAGCAAAACCTTTCTTATTTCACAACAAAACTAACTCAGGCCTGAAATTGGCTGCATTTAGCTCCTGAGGCTCCTCTGGCTGTTACAGCAGAAAACACAAAGTGATTCAAGATTGATAAGGAACCGGAGGAAAACTAAAATATAAACCTAGTGCTGGTTGCTTGAAACTTTGGTTTAGGCATTGTAAACGATGGGTATTGTTGCCTTAGCCCAAATTCAATCAAATGAAAACCAATCCAGCCTTTCTCAACATGGCTGAATCCCAACAGGCTCCAGTAGGAAATAATCGCCCTCTTCTGCTCTAAGCTTCATTAATATCTCTTTAAGGAAAAGTACTTAAATTGTTGCATAGAGGAAACCCGAACTCATCAATGTACTGTAATGCAGATCAATATTTACTGGAAAACCAGATTTATCCATGATTGAGCTGTAAAATGCATTCACAAGAGTTACTACATATCTATAGTTTTATTGGCCGCGTTATATAATTCACAGAAAATATCCATAAAACAATTTTCACGTAACTTGGACAGAGAAAAAAAGAACATAAAGAAATCAATTGAACCCCTGCATCTGTTACGACTATTTTGGCAAATGCAGTAAAAGAGGAAGCAAGAGCTCTCCGAGGTGCTGAAATACACAGCTCCTCAGTTGTTAATGGAGTCTCCATCTAAAGCTGTATTTAAATTGTGAAAACACCAGTTAACTGTGTAGATTTATACACTATTCATACACAATAGATATATGTGCCATCATGGACGTACTGCTTTACACATATTGTGATAAATAATGCTTTAGACACATTTAGAATGTAGCAAATATAATTCCAGTAAGTCCCAGTAAGTCTGTGTTTCAATTGCTAAACAAATCAGCAGAATACGCAGTTCATAGTCATAAAAGTGACTTTTTCAACCCTGTACAGCTCAGTGTTTAGTGTTTTATAAAGAAAACCTCAACAATCTCTGCAAAGGAAATCTATAATGAGCTTTCAAAAAAATACATTCATCATTTCTTGAAGGATGAATTTTAGAAGAATACATATAACCATTACTGTGACCGACCCACTTATTGGCTCTCTTTAAAGAACACGTGTTCAATTTTTTTCTGCCACTTCTATCCTTCAGACGTGTTGTTTTAGCGGTCACTCACGTTTAGCTGTGTGGCCTGTATCATGTCCAGAATGGGCAGTATCTTCTCATATATCTCCTTCTGCTCATTTGGGTTGAGGTCCTTCTTCTGGAGAGGCCTCCGGTGAAAACCTCTTGCTTCTGTCAGAATGAAAACAGGTTTTAGAGCAGAGCCTCGTGCTGCTAACAAAGACAGTAGTACCATTCTCATAGTAAAGAGATTAAGATGAAGAGATCCTTTATTCGTCCCACAGCAAGGAAATTTCAGTGTTGCATCACGAGTTACAGAACAGTAGGAATGAGGAGCACACAGCACAAGATGAGTGAACAATAGCTATACTAATTAAAATAAAAACAAAAAGTCTAACTCTCGCATCAAAGAACAAGTATGAAATCTCTTCCTTGAACATAATAATAATAACTAATTAATAGTTCAATATCTTTTTATGCTTGTATAATTAGAAAGCCCAGCTCTAACAACGCCATAACGTGCTCTGTAGAAAACATCTACTACAGTGGTTCGTAAATCAACAATTTCGATTTTTTGAGTACCATCCATCCATCCATCCATCCATCTTCTACCCTTTAATCCATTTCTGGGTCAGGGGGGTGGCAGTCAGAGATGCCACCCAAGTCTCATAGCACCAGCCCCTCACTGACCCTCTGCAGGTGGTGAGTCCACAGGAGGACGGCTGCTCTCTGACTGTGAGCTACTGTCGCCTGTTTTTGAGTACCAACATACAGTATTTGGCCTTTCGATTACCCCATAAAACATGGCTGCTCAGTGCCCCAGTTTGAGAAACACCATTGCACATTCACAACAAATCAATAAACGTTTTTATTTTAAAAGCTGTAACAGACAATTTTACAAAATAGGAAAAAACAGAGTAACAGACCGTTTTGAAAAGTCGTTGGATGAAGCAAAAACATGATTAATTGTCACACAACATGTATGCACAGGGATACAAAACATCCATCCATCCATCCATCCATCCATTTTCTACCCTTTAATCCATTTCTGGGTCAGGGGGGTGGCAATCAGAGATGCCACCCTCTGAAGGTGCAGAGTTGGGAATTGAACCCACGACCTTCTGGCCTTAAGGCCAATGCTCTACCAACTGAGCTACTGTCGCCCCGGATACAAAACATACACAAAGAATTCAGTCATACAGGAAGAAGGACTGAGAAAAGAACTGTGGGACTTCTAATCCCCATTGGAGCTTGTCCTATTAGCCCTTTAGACGTCTACAATAACCCTGGCCTGTTCAATATTTCATTCTGCATTTGTTCTTGCTATTTTTTAATGAGCCTACTTATTGAAATTCATGTAAAAGGTCCAGTGCTGCAGTTCTAATTGACTGAAACAATTCAACGTCCTCTTGTCCACGGATCGTATGTATTTGGAGTTGATTGAAATTCTGAATACGGCGCCGTGGGCAACAGAAAAAGCCAGCCGTGCTTGGATTGTTAGGCCCAGTGTGTCAGATTACTTATTGTGTTTAATGGTGAAGTCCTTCAAAGGAGATTGTAAGTACATCTCCATGGAGACGAGGGCAGTGGCAGACTCTCCACCAACAGCAACACATAATGTGTTTGTCGGAGTAATCAATTGATTAATAATGCAGTAAAATGTGTTTTTCTTGTACATACACTTTACTTTTAATTGATAGAAATAGCAGGGGAGGCACAATGATTTTGAAAGACGGCAAAAAAACTAAAAACAAGACAAACATTGGCAGTTTGTCCATAGTAATTCTGGATTTTGATACAAATATTGTACGTACACAGAACTAAAAGATAATTTTAATTTTGCTCCCATTGTTCAAGGGTTAAATTTAAATATCTGAAAGATAAAGAAAGATAGGTCTATGGTATTGTTTACAAATCTGTCTAAATCTGTTTCAGTGAGCACTGAATAAGAAAAAGACAGAATCAAATATCCATAAAACAATTTTCATGTAACTTGAAGAGAGAAAAAAGGAAGAAATCAAGTGAACCCCTGCATCTGCTATGACTGTTGGCAAACACAGTAAAAGGAGCAGGTGGAAGCCAGAGCTCTCCAAGGTTCTGAAATACCCAGAACCTCAGTTGGTGATGGAGCCTCCATCTATAGCTGTAATTAAAGTGTGCAAACACCAGTTAAAGTGTTATGGACTTCCTGCTGTACATATATTGTAATGAATGATGCCAATTAAACTATTTGACACAATATAGCGAAATAAAACAAACCCGTGTTTCAATTGCTAAACTAATCAGCAGAAAAAGCAAATACAGTATTAGCTCAGTGTTTAGGATTTATAATCCATTAAAATGTATTTTTATTGTATACACTATACTTTTAATTAATAGAATTGCCAGGGGCGTCAAACTGACACTGACAGTATGTTCATATGTACAGCTAACAAAACAAAACCACTTTCAGAAGTGTAGAAGTAATCGCCATTTTATATTATTTATCTTTTCCTAATTGTATGTTGTTCATGTAGTAAATAAACCTACCTTTTACATTTTTTACGTTATTTTAATTTGCACTATGAGTAATTTCCCTTGGGGATCAGCGTGTGTCTTAAGTGTAAAGGCTTTTGTTGTAGATTGTTATTGATGAATCGACAACTTTGTAAAAGATTGTTTAAAATACATTGAATTGAATTTGACCAATCACAGGTAAGTAGAGAAGCCAAAGCAAAGTTATTTTCAGAAAGAGTGAAACTAGTTGTTACTGACAGAATAATGTTAATGTTATGAGTGGAGCTGACTCTTTTTTCCCACCGTTCACACAACATTCACACTAGTTAGGGAGGGAGAGGTGTCTTGCCTAAAGACACAACAAACACATGCGCCACACTAATATTTGGATACAAGGGTTGGTGAATATCCACAAGAGAAACCAAAAGTAAATGCAGAAAAAGAACATACTTAAGGATTTAGCCATATCCAAGCAGGAACAAAAGGAGAATATTGAGGCTTTGACACAAACCTGCAAGTGTGGCCCACATCCTGGAGCAGATATTTTCAATGAATTTCCCTTCCTTTGTGGTCCCGAATCCCAGGCTGATGTAATACTTCTGCACATCACCAGGGGCAGTGGAGAGCCAGTCTGTGGTGTGGGGCAAGACGTGGACTCCTCGAGGATCTGAAGAACAAGATAAAGAAAAATAATCCATCAAATATTCAACCAACACTGGTTGTCACTGCAAACGTACGCTCAGACCTATGTCCTTCTAATTCAGTCACATTCATGAAAAAAATAATCTAAATGGTGTTTTTGAGCAGTTTTGGACGTACCAGTGTAGACATAGGCCGCTGAGGGGTAAAGATCCTTCAGGTTCTGCTCAGCCCGGAGGAGCTCCTCTGGTGATGGGTTCTGGATGAAGGGAGTGTAGAGAACAACCACTCGACTGGCCGACAACGCTTCTTTCAAAACGGCCTAAAATGAAGATGGAAATATTACTGAGGATTACACAATCAACATTTGGTACAATTCTAACTGGAACTGTCAAAAAAAATCGCTGCAGTTTTGGTTTCTCATTTCTCATTTACTCTAATTAGAACTGGGAACTGAGAGAATTAAAATCCAATGTCCGACTAAAATTGTTGGTTATAGCTGGTGTCTGGGAGCAGTGTTGTGCGTGAACGAGTTCAAAAGAACGCGTTCATTGAACACGCTCATTTTTTCGTGAACATTGAACTGAACGCAACACATTTTCAAAAAAAGAACTTGAACGTGAATTAGTTCATTTTATGTGTCATGAACGGCAGACATCACTATGAACGTTGGAATCTGTTTTCTCTTTTTAAATGCAACGAGAGAAAGTTCCTCCCTCCTGTATTCTCGCACTTTTTCCGCCGAAATCTAAAAATTCCTACAGTTTCCACCGTCTGTGAACGCACCCCGACTCAGTGTTGCGGTGCGGCGCTGTGAGCTGGTGCTTTTCACATGTGCCCGAGTCGTGATGAAAACACAGGGTGAGTTAGCGACACAGTTTACACCGTTTATATTTGACATAAAGTATAGACACACGCACTGCAGCGCATTACTGTCTGTAGTTTATGAGCAGAGATGGGGCAACTCCGTTTTGCTCCCATTGAAAACCATGTAAATCTAGTCTGTTTTGTAGTCAAAAGGCTCTCCTCCTGTGGGTGTACAGGGGATATATATATATATATATATATATATATATATATATATATATATATATATATATATATATATATATATATATATATATATATATAGCTCGTAGTGTGAAAAACATATTTATTTAAGTATCTCACGAAAAAAGTTAAATGAACTGAACTTTGAACTAGTTCATAATTAAAAATGTGAACTTTGAACGTGAACTGTTCACTTTGAGCATGTTTGAACTGAACTTGAACTAGTTCAGAAAAGCTGTGAACTGGCACAACACTGTCTGGGAGAAAGAATCTATTTGACTGTAGAAGGACCAGATTTCGGGTTTTTTAACAATTGCATTTTGCCTTTCACCGCTGAGGTAAATGTCACAGAAAATGAGATTTAGGGACCTAATGAAGCAAAAATCTCCAACCCATTTAAAATCTCTATTCACAGTTTAAAAGAAAAGGTTTGGACCATATACATTTTTTTCAAACTGGCCCAGGTTCATAAGAATGTTTGATTTGACCCTTTCATACTTGACTCTTGTTTTATTTCGGGGAGTCTGTGTTATATTTTTATGAATTGGCTGACAAAAAATCCAGGCATTGATGAGGTAAGGTTTTTTTTTTTTTTTTTTTAAAGAAACTAGATTCATATTCCTTTGGGCTTTTGTCCTGCCCTGAGATGGAAGAGATTGATATCCCTTTTTGAACAGAAATGGTGAGTAAACGTATAACTTACTGTTATACTGAGTTTTCACACCTCAGAGAGACAGAGAGTGAGACAGAGAGACAGAGAGTGAGACAGAGAGACAGAGAGAGAGACAGAGAGAGACAGAGAGAGAGACAGAGAGATAGAGAGAGAGACAGAGAGAGACAGAAAGACAGAGAGAGAGAGAGAGAGAGAGAGAGAGAGAGAGAGAGACAGAGAGAGAGACAGAGAGAGAAACAGAGAGAGAGACAGAGAGAGAGAGAGAGAGACAGAGAGAGACAGAGAGAGAGACAGAGAGAGAGAGAGAGAGAGAGAGAGACAGAGAGAGACAGAGAGAGACAGAGAGAGAGAGAGAGAGAGAGAGACAGAGAGAGACAGAGGGACAGAGAGAGAGACAGAGAGAGAGACAGAGAGACAGAGAGAGAGACAGAGACAGAGAGAGAGACAGAGAGAGCGACAGAGAGACAGAGAGAGAGACAGAGAGAGACAGAGAGAGACAGAGAGAGAGAGAGAGAGACAGAGAGAGACAGAGAGAGACAGAGAGAGAGACAGAGAGAGACAGAGAGAGAGAGAGAGAGACAGAGAGAGACAGAGGGACAGAGAGAGAGACAGAGAGACAGAGAGAGAGACAGAGACAGAGAGAGAGACAGAGAGACAGAGAGAGAGAGAGAGATCTGATAATAGTGATATTCAAATTAAAATCAATATTGATAATGTTCAAGTTGAACAAGTCAAGGAATATACATTTCTAGGTGTGGTCTTCAGCCATAAGGCTAGCTGGAGACCACAAATAGATAGCATTCGAGGGAAAATGGCAAAAAATGTGGCAATTATGGGCAAATGTAGATTTTTTCTGGACCAAAAGGCTCTCTTCACCCTGTACTGTTCCTTAATCCAACCGTACATAAACTATTGCTCAGAGGTCTGGGGAAATACCTTCAATAGTCATTTAGAGGTTTTATATAGACTTCAAAAGAAGGCCATAAGAATCGTTCATAACGTTGGTTATAGGGACCACACAAATATACTGTTTTTAAAATCAAACACAATGAAATTTGATGATCTTATAAAATATAATACTCTGTTACAGGTATATAAAGCTGTAAATAACCAGCTCCCTAGCAACATACAACAAATGTTTGGTAAAAGAGATGGAAGATATGACCTCAGAGGTACTCATAACCTCAAAGTTCAAAGTGTTCACTCTTCCTTAAAAAGTTGCTGTATTACCCGGAGAGGTGTACAATTGTGGAATAATCTAGAGGAACCCTTAAAAGATGTTGCTTGTTTACAGCTATTCAAAAAACGATACAAGAGAAGTGTGTTTGAGAAATATGCTAAAGACATGTAATCTGTTAAGTATTATCGTGAATCTGATTAACCACATCATTGCCGAAAGAACCAGTGTCACCAACTTCAAATTCAAAGCACTACCCGGCACAGGACATAAAACCTTACACAATACATAGTTAGGGCAGCAGGGTGTGGCTAGCTGATGGGGGGTCTCTGCCCTCAACCAACTGGTCACGTCACGCCCTTGCTTTTTAATGCATCTCACTTAAAAAGGCAAACAACAAAAAGTAATTCTACAGTCACAACCAATATTTTATAGTGAATCGAGAATGACGGCAAGAGGACATTCTACAAAAATGTGTAGTGCAAATAAATTATGTGATTCTAAAATGGGAATGATGGTAAGGGGACTTATAATCATGATTATGTATTGTTGAGAAAGAAAGATTATGACAAATGTAATGCAAATAATAATGAAATCCTGATCAGTCAAAAGATTGGTGATCGGTATTCTTAGGTAATGATGGTATATGGTTATCATACGAAATGAAGAAAACATAAATAAATAAAAAAATTATATATATATGTCTGTGTATGTATATATGTATATATATATATATATATGTGTGTGTGTATGTGTATGTGTATGCATGTGTATATATGAATATATAAACCCACATAAATAATAATAATGATTATTTTACCTTGGTAGTCGTGTGAAAAACTTGTGATATATTGTATAATCATGAATGCTTTTCTAATCAATGCTGACGTGTGTTTGGTTAACCTGGACAACTGTAATCGTAGAATTGATTGTGATCATGGATGAGCACATCCACAGAGCCTTGGGTGTGTCTATGTATGGAAATGATCATTCACAAATTGCTTGTAAGTAAACAGGCCCATGCACCTTCTGATGTGCACGTGCCTGGGTAACTCAGGAACTCGTGTTTATTGTATGTAAACTGTATGATGCCTGTGTTCACGGTTATTGTCTGCAGCTTAAAGTGATCACTTGGAACAGGGGGTGGGCACTAATAAGCTTTCTTGCTTCAGCCGACTCCTTTTGAGCCACTTTATAACAGTGTAACCTTGTAACAATGGAAAATATGTTTGTAAAATGCTCATATAAATAACAATCAATCAATCAATCAATCAATCAAACACTAAACAGCCATAAAGGAAACGCAGACACATACTTATCTTTCAGCGAAGTTGGCCTCAGATCTGAAGTCCTGGGAGTCCCTCTACGTTATGATAATTAAAAACCTATTTTAACCACACATTGGATTTGGATTGCATACTATTGCTTGCTCACATTTGACGTCATGTCCGCCTCATTACTTATGCGTATCACAAAGTGGTGGTCAGCCGAGCTAGTATGTTCTAGCAGCGTGTCTGAATATGCTTTTAGTGTGTGTTGTTTTAGGTTGTTCTAGGCGATCGAAACGGAAAACTGATAAAAGATACTTTAGGGTTCCTCGTGAAGAGATTAATAAAGGGCCTCGCTATAAGGACTTTACGAAAAGACGCAGAGATGATGAACTTTCAGGTATGAGTTGGCGTTTTAGATGACGGTTCATACACCAATCTTTACTTACACGGCTCTTTACGATTCAGGATTTGTCCTACAGGACCTTCAGGACCTCCGAGTTCTTTAACCCAGCCACAGACAGTTGTAGCATCCATGTTTTTCCAAGCCTTCATTTTTTTGTGCAAAAGCTTGATTGCAACACAAGATAGTTTGAGATATGCGGGAACTGAACTGGCGGGTATTTTTCTAACTCGCAAATCAAATTATACTCAGATAACGCAGTAGGATCTACACAGTTACACAATTAGATTTTTTAGATGTATCGAGCTCGAGAGTTAGAATCTAAAGTGAAGAAAATGACAGTCTAGGATTGTGTAGATAACCAAAGCATGTGGAGAAATACTGCCTTGTGCATATTGTTAGAATGATGAGTTAGAACAGTAGAAGAGTCACATTTTCGACACATATCATCAGCCATTTTTGTTGGCCTGACCACCACTTAATTAACCGGAAGTTGATGCGTCACGTGACTGCAAGCTAAGAATACTATATATTAGTAAGAATAAAGAAGTATTGTAGAAGTAATATTCAGAATCAAAATAATTTAATATCGACCACACAACATGTTCATACCTCGACTGTGAGAGTTACAGGAAAGACATACAAAACAAACCTACATGACAGAGTATTGTTGAGTTTTGATTATGGAGGTGTAGAACTTGTGTCTAACCCTAAAAATAATTGATCATAAAAGCATCGACGGTGTGTTAAAAAAGTGAATAGCTTTTAACATCACATAGAAATACTAGCCCTTGTCTTGTCGGTAATAGATATGTTGTTGTTATCAGTAGGATCTTAATATATCTCCCACATGTCCTACAAAATGTGTCTTTCATGGCCTCGCTCCACTTCACGTTCACTTCAACAAATCATGAAAAACTGAAGTAGTTTATTTTTGCCGACCCACATTATCCTCCAGATTGGGTTTTCTTTTTTTTTTCGCAACGTCTTTGAATTGTGCCTTAAAATGTTAGATTACGTGAGCGTTTTTTAAGGAAAATCCATGAAAATTGGATATTTATCAATCCCATTATGAGACTGTCACAAGCTGATCACTTCATCTGGTTGTCCCAGACTGGTGGTTTTTTGGTGCATCTAAGTTTGCTCAGTGTTGCGCAACCATTTTTAACCTTAAATAATCAAATGGCAAACCACTTCCATCTGAAACTGATACAAAATGTAACTCTGCAGCCTTTATCAACAAAGTAAAGTCATTCCCAAGTGTATCATATAGTAAATCAAGCAAACGTGTTTTTTTTTTTTTTATCTTCTCTCCTTATTCTGACCAATTATCTGATTTTGCAAAGTTTTCTAACCGCGCTAAACAACATCTCAAGCCACACCGACGTGCCACGGAACACTGGTTGAAAAACAGCTTTGATTTAGTCGTGTTTCTGATTTCTCCACACACTGGTGAGTGACGCTGGGCTCGACTCTCCTGAACACACAAATGGACTTGTTTGCGCAGTAATGCATAGTTACTCAGCCAAGTAACTACTGTATAATTTCATTACTACTGCTGAAAATGCATATCTAATGTCCATCCATCCGTCTATCCAATTTCTTCCCCTTAATCCAATTCTGGGTTGGGGGGTGGCAGTCAGAGCTGCACCCAGTACACAGAGCACTAGCCCTGATCTTCCTGCAGGTGGTGAGTCCACAGAGATCTTCAAAGACAGTAGTACCGAGATCTTCCAGCGCAACCTTCAGGCAAAGTGGGATTAAGTGTCTTGCCCCAGGACACAACAACAGCAGTCAACAGTGGGAGTCATGAAGTAGGTCTCGTGGTGGGCCCCCGTGAATATCTAATGTAATACTTAAATAATTGTTTGATTACTGTAACATGTTACCGACCATGTGCACTGCAGCTTTAATTTCAAAGACAGATGTGTTCTGCACCTGATTATGGATACACAACCAGTTTCCATCTACAGTCCCTGGTTACATGATTAAAAAAGATACACTAAGATGTAATCAAATTGCATCATTACGAATGTACAATGCTTTACCTGAAGTTATCATTCTGAATCTCAGGCTGTAAAGTATTTAAACTATTATAGAAAGCAAGATTAAGACATTGGAAGTATCATTTTAATGAAAGTATCCACCATTGTCATAGAGACTCTCTTTTCACTTTTTAACATATTTGTACATTTCCTCTAATTTGCACACCCCAGTGCCAAATGTGACATATAATAATGTAAATATCTCCATTGTGAGATCAATAAAGTTTATTTCATTAATTTAATAATCTGAGAGAATCTTTAGATCTAAGTAAACATTACAGTCCATGGATTGCTGCATGCACACTTTAAGCATCTGTAGAAAAACAACAGTGATGGCGTTTCTCTCTGCAGTCTTCTCTAATTAGCTCACATCTTCTTCCTTTGAGCTGATTAAAGCTTTAGTAAAGTCTTCGTCGAAACCCTTCCCTCAGAGGACACAGACTCACTGGCAGAGTACATGTGTCCAAGAAGTAACAAAGATACAACTTTGTGAGCACTGCATAGTGTAAAGTTCCTGGTCGTTCATCAAAGAGTCTCTGATCATCGTGGCAGATTCTATATATTACTGCATGTTTTTATGTTGAAAACAATAAAACAAGAGTCCACCCATCAATCCATTTTCTACTGCTTTACCTGTAGCACAGAGGCAACCGTTTGAGCAGAGACACCCCGACTTCCTGTCCACACACACTTCCTCATCTGTGGAAATCCAGAGGGGTTCCTAGTCTGGGATTACTCATGCTGTTGTGTGCAATCAAATTATTTCAAACTACACAACAGCCTGGAAAAGAAACACTTGAACTCCCAGAGCAGTCATTTTGACTGTATTCGGAGTCAATGCGCATTTTTAGTCTTGGAAGCATAATTGCTCATCTTAGATATGTTGTTGGTCTTCATAACTTTGTGACTTTTTCTTTTTCTATATGTAGCTTATTTCTTTGTTTTTTCCATATTTTTTATGAAATCATTTTGTATTTCTGAAATGTCAGAAAAAGATCTATGGGAAACTCGCCTGTATTTGGGCATCGTCTGGTCCTCCCGGTTCTGCGCAGTGGATGATCTCCCATAATGCGTTGCACCAAACACGCGTGTGTGGGTCTCACACCGGGTCTCACGCACGTGCACAGAGGGGCTCGGCCGCGCTCTGACCAATCAGAGCAGTTCATCAGAGCGGGAGTTAGAGCGAGAGCCAGACGAGCAGAGTTTGTGGCACTAAAGTGTGGATTTAAACAAAACCAAAGGATTTAAGAAGAAAAAAAGTTCAGGATGACAAGGGACACTAAAATCCCCACAAAATCCGACCTTTGTGAAAGCTGAAGGTTCTCTGTCAGCTGAGGTCGCGCTGTTTTAATTTACATTTCTGGGTTCAGTCTGCAGTACCGCGAGAATCCCCCGAGCACATGAGTTCTTCAGCTCCAAGCTAGTAATACCCTATCCAGTTATTATAATAGATCCATGGGAAAACTAAACATTTTGGGGGAATTTCCCAGAATTCAATCGGTTTTAGGGAGCAGTCAAAATGGCGGCTCTGGGAGTTCTTGTTGTTTCATATTTCAGGGATTTTTCATTTTACGGTTCTGTTACGATCTTATCTAATCTTGTCTTATCTTTATTGTTTTTTATGACATTGCATTGTCCATGAATCCCCCCAGAGGCCTCTTTTCACTTTGTTCTGATTTCTGTCGTTGTTGTGGCTTTCTATTGATCACGTCATCCGTGTCCAGTCCAGACCCAGCTCTGCAGCGTGGACAAACCTCCCTGGCCTTGTGGCTTCATTATAAAGCCTTTAGCGGAACATATGCCAGCATTGGAGGTCACTAAACGTCCGTGATTGATTGGCTGGGGAGGGGTCCAGTTAGCCAATAGACACTGAGGCTGCGGTCCGCCCTGGTCCATCTGTCCGCTCACCTGCCAATAGAACTGGAGTTGTGAGCTGATTCTGCGCTCGGGATGAGGCAGGGAGCAGTACAGCCAGTTTGCGGTCAAAGCGCTCCTGGACAACAAGAGAGCAGAGGAAGAGTCAGCACATTCTCTGTTCACTGTGCCAATACAATGAGACAATCTGAGTTGATGTTGTATTCTGAAAACCTAGACACAGGAATTCTTGGAAAAATCAATGCACTGTGCTTTTATTGCTTCTGGCCACCCTAGAAAAGCCATGTTCCAGCTTCTGTTAGAAGATATGTTTCAATGAGATGCGGGACATCTCGTTTGGCTAAAAGTTTCTTTCCACTAGAATCAGAAATATTTTTATTGCCATTGTATGTAACAGGGTTTTACAAATTGCTTTTATGGTTTTTAGTGCAAACAAGTGATAAAAAGGTCAAACGTAGAAATAAAGGCATAATACAAAACATCATAATAAAATCTAGCATATAAATGCACACATCAGACATTTAACAGTGCAGATTGTTACGGCCCTAGGCCTGTAAATTGCTCCTTGTATATCGTGTGTGTGTGTGTGTGTGTGGCAACCCCTCCTTCTTTGAGATCCCTGGCCTGTGATTGGTGAACAACTGGCCCTCCCGCCTCCCAGACGTCCGTGACTCAGGTTCTGATTGGAGGAGCAGCGGTGCACCTGGCCCAACCAGCTTCCCCACCTGGAGTCACTGTCCCACTTAAGGCCACACTCCACACCTGCAGCCTGTGTGGCTGGTATGCCATTTGTCCTTATGAAACTGTCTGTCATTGTCACAAGTGGTGGCAATGACTTAAAGTGGTTCTCACCCCTGCTCCTCGGAGCTTACGTTACTCACATTTCCTGTTCAAATCTTCCTTTAAATGGGCGTAGCCTGGAGGACTAAAGGGGGCGTGAACGAGACTGGGCCGTTTATATTGCTCTGGGCGGGGGGGCTGCTGACGTCAGGTCCAACTTGCAGACGTCAGGTCCAACTTCTGTGCCAGTGTTGGCGCCAGATTCAAAATTCAAATGTAGTAATACAGGTCGCCAGCAGATGGCGCCTCACAGACGGTTTTAGGCAGAAAGTTTAACTTTCAACTAATTTGCACCAAAGTGACAAGATTATGACCAGGATATGTAGACAACACTATTGGACACTCATTTATACCGTCTATCAGCAAAAAAAAGTGGATTTGAGGGTGAGTTGTCCTTTAAAGACAGTCCTTATGGTCCGTATAGTTTTTGTTTGGTTTGTCTCTTTTCTGTTGTCACTTTGAGGTTTTGTTTTCGTGACGCTTCGCTTTATTTGAGACAACAGCCAGTTTAAGTGTTTAGTTCTGGGTGTATTAGTGTAAAGTGTTTAGTGTAGGTTTGGTTTTGGTAGGGTTGAGCTACCCCTTATGTCCTGTATTGTGTCCTTTTGATTTTTGTCTAATTATAATTTACGTTCCTGTTATTAAATACTTGCTTTGCCACTTAACATCTTGGTTTTTTGTTACCTCCCTTACCCTAGCTGAGCTGGGTCGTAACACAGATTATCAATAAGTGTCCAAAGTGTGGTGTGGGTGGCACGGTGGCCGAGTGGATAGCACGCTCGCCTCTCAGCAAGAAGGTCCTGTGTTAGAATCCCGGTCGGACCAGGGCCTTTCTGAGTGGAGTTTGCATGTTCTCCCTGTGTCTGCGTAGGTTTCCTCCAGGTACTCCGGTTTCCCCTAACACTAACTGGCGACCCTGCTCCCATTTCTGTGTGGAGTGAGAGGACAAGTGCCCAAAAATAATTGTAAACCGCTTTGTGACTCTGGTCTTTGAAAGGCGGTATATAAATAAAGATTACTTACTACTTACTACTACTAAAGGGCCAAGATCAAGTGATGAGTTATGAAGTGTTAATGAGTCCCTCTGCAGAAGGGTGCGAGATTCTGGTCCAGATGCTGTAGCCTCCTGTCTGAAGGGAGTCAAACACCCCATGTCCAGGCTGAGAAGGATCGGCAGTGATCTGACATGCCTGCTCTCCAGCTCGGGCGACGTACAGGTCCTACAGCGATGGAAGGCTGCGGCCGATCATCCTCTCAGCAGGGCCCGTGATGGACTGTGGTCCCTGCTGGTCCCTAGCAGTGGCTCCAGCAAACCAAATGGAGATGGAGGAGGTGAAGATGGACTCAATGGACTTGTGTAAAACAGTGGCAGTGATATATACTGGTCTTAAGTTTCTCTTCTTATATTATTGTTCAAGTTGACTGGGGTTTGAAGGCCTGTGAACCTCAGAACAAAGCATAATCAAATGTGTTTATTGTAAATATCTTTTCCTAGCCTATCAGTGTCTGCAAATGTCTACATATACATATCAGTAAAGACAAATTGAAAATTGGAGAATGATTATGATTGATTTTTAAGACAGTGATGTCTGAGTAAAAGCCCTTTAAACTTGTACAATGCGCAAAACAAAACAAATAAAAATGCAATAGTGTTTCTATCAGCACCATACGCTCTCCTAACCATGACTTTCTGGAAGGGTCTATTGTACTGTCAATAAAAAGTACAGAATGGAAACCAGAACACAATTGATTCAGACATATATCATCAGCCAAAGACAAACTAATCAACTAGCTGCACACTCCTGCGACCTGTGCAGGCATCTCTATTCACTCAGCGTAAGTGCAAGCGCAGGCCGGGATTAGAAAGGCCACACATATGCCGATAATGCAGATTGACCGCTTACTCCCTCTGGTCCTTACGGGCCTCGGATCGAAGCTTTGTTCCCAAATAGAACAACACTGACGGGAGCTGTGTGCGTGATGGGCCTCTACAGCTGTCACACTGAAATATGAGTTTAAAGGAAGGGGGAAGCTGATGTTTAAACCAAAAGTGCATGAATGACAGGCAGTGGTGGAAAGTGCTCTCAAGAGGTACCGTTAACATGTGCATTTGGAACAGCATCCCAGCTGCTATTAGAGACTGTCAGACTGTGATCACATTTAAAACCTACCTCAAAGCATAGCCCAAGAGGAACCAGGTCTGTGAATGTCAGAGGCAGTATTCCTTTGTTTTATTTTTTTAAACTTACTTTTAAAAAGTGCATGAAGTTTTACTTATACATGCTGTGCGTTTAACTCTGCCTTTGAATGGGCTCTCCACTGGACACAGTGTGACAGGTGGGGGACAGGAGGGTCCTAGACAAACTAACAACCATACAGGACCATGACTTTCACCCCCTGCAATCTGTCTGCTCTGGAGAGCAGCTTCAGTGACAGACCGTTCCACTCTTTCTGTCTGCAGGGGTTCCTTCCTGCTGCTGTGTTGTAGGTAGAGTGAATAGGGTCGATATGCCAAACACTGACAGACTTTTAGAATTTAAGTGTGCTTAGTGCACTTAGAAGCAATCTTATGAAACTGCATGTATTTCCATTGTTTTTATGAATGTCTTATTCTATTTTTACTTTGAGGTTTGGCTCCAATAAGTGTCTCACTTCAGCCAAAACCCTTTCAGTCATTTATTTATGTTTTTTTTATGTTTTGTTGACTATTGTCTGAATGAAGAGACTGAAAAAATAAACTAACTAACTTTTATAACTTGTTTGCAGCAAGTGCTTTTATTGATGCACTTGTGAAGAAATTAAAAATTAAGCTGGGTTTTTTCTTTCGAAATAAGACATGTTTTTCTTTTGGGGTTAAAAGGCGCCTTGTCTCTGCCACTTTTTTATTCGTCTTAGATTATGGTGACCTTTTTTATATGAATGCTACCTCTTCGTGTCTTGAAAAGCTGGACTCAATATATCATGCCTCCCTGAGGTTCATCACAAACTGTAGAGCTCTGACACTGTGAGCTGTACGCTCGGGTGGGATGGTCCTCTCTGTCCACTAGGAGGCAGTGTCATTGGTACACCTTTATTTACAAGGCTCTTCTGGGGCTCCTGCCCTCTGACCTCTGTACATTACTCACACAGAGGAGCACAGAGTCTTATGCTCTGAGGTCCAATGAGCAGCTGTTACTTACTGTGCCTTTTGTCCGCACAGAGTTTGGAAAAAGAGCTTTTGTCCATGCAGCCCCTTCTGCTTGGAACATGCTCCAGCGAGACTGGAAACTGACCGAGCTTTTGTCTTTGAATGCTTTTAAATCAAAACTCAGAGTTTTCGAGACTGCCTCAATCACCTGTAAATGTTTTACTTGATGTGTTTAGTCTGTATATCTGTCATTTTTTTATGTAATTGTATCTATCTGTTGTGTTTATGTGTAACTTTGCTGCCTCTTGGCCAGGACTCCCTTGAAAAAGAGATTCTTAATCTCAATGGGATTTTTCCTGGTTAAATAAAGGTTAAATAAAAAAAAAAGAGCAAAGGCAATTTTGTAGTTGTGACTTCCTGTTACTCACAATGACAATACAAATAATTCTGATCCTGATTCAGTGCTATACTATTACTGTATATTTTTAAATACGCATATTTCAGGTGGAGTACTTGCATTAAAACGTACTTAGCTGCGAGCCAGGGCTGGTCCAGCGCTCTGTAGACTGCGGCTTGACGAAGGTGGTTTTGAAAGTGAGAGGGATTCAGCTGGATACACCTGAGGAAAACATAATTATCCTTATGAGTCAAAAATACATGTTCATGACTTATGATACTGATAAATAGTAGAATGTGAGAAAATTATAAGATAGATATCAGCTAATTTCTGTATAGATTTGTTTATTTACAAAGTGAGCACGACCATATCAACAGTTTTGTTATATATTGATCACTTAAACTCTGTTTACGTGGAGTTTCGCAGCTTTGCATTAGTTCAGAGCGTAAAGGGGCGTTCACACCGGACCATGCGTAGCGTCCAGTTTCTATGCAAAGTCAATGACAGTCTATGGTTTTGACGCGCCTCCTTCTTGGTTTGACAGCTTTTAGTGGATAGCGCCATAGACCAACGAGCTATAGTATAAATGATGCATCCATTTATATTGACAGGGTTATGTAGAGCAGCAGATCTACAGCCTTGTTCTGTGGTGGAAAACGCTGGATTCAAACACTGAATTAGCATAGTTGAGCCACCCTACAGTACGCCATAGTGCGCTGTAAGAAAAAAATAAATACGAGAATCGAATTGAATTTGATTGAAAATCAAATCGAATCAAGGATTTAGAGGTTCATTACAACCCTTGTGTTTGGACAAACAAAGAGTATCCCTTATGAAAACAGGTTAGGTAACCTTTAACCTTCATTTTTGGATTGAAATGGACAAGATTTAGTGACACGCAAAATAGGACTGCAATGTAAAACATAATTGTTTTAGTTTTTTATGGCAAATAGGATGACATTTCACTGTGATGTGTGTTGGATGTGAAAATACACGTGTGTGCATCTTGACTATAGCTCCAACTTTAATGTCACTTTTTAACTTTCTAATGAGGTCAAATGTGCTGTTTTAGTCAGTTGTACTAGTGTGTGGGAGTGTTTGGTTGTACATTGTGATGTCACAGTGCATGGCAGGTGACAAGGCAAAATGCATTCATGAAATAGTATTCAACATCAGAAAATAGTGACATTAGTTATCAGAACGGTATTAGATTCTGTGGGCTGTTGTGTTGAGTGGGTAGATGGCTTTTTCAAATCTAACAGTAATAAAAAGAATACTGCTCCACCGCTTACACTGGTCTGAATAGGCATCTTTTTCCACCAAGTTCAAAGCCAATGAATTTTCAGTTTTATTTTTCTATTGTCAAATGCTGACTGAGATGAAACATGCACCTCTGACTCGCATTCGTTTTGGCTTTATTTTTTCCAAACGGTGAAACACATTGGAGGATAAACTGGAGATAAAAGAAGCCGACGGAAAACAGACAATAAAGCTCCCTTCTTCACACAACTCACCAAACTACTTTCAATTTGTGAGTAAAAACAGTTCAACTTTTAACAGTTCTGTGAAAAGGAAAGTTAGCAAAGTCAACAAATCGTTGGATAGAATCTTTGGACAAAAAGCTTCACAGACTTCTTTTTACGAGGCAATTCTGATTACAATTTCAAAATTGTTGTGCAATAAAAAAACGATTGAAACTATGACAGAGAAAATATTATTGAAATACGGTGGAATCTTTCAGGCAAAGCTACTCCAGCATCTCAAGTGGGAAATACAGACATGAAACAAAAAAGATGATCCTCAAGATTGATTTGGCTAAAAAGATATTTCCATTGGGACAGAATTGAGTCGCTCTTGGTTTCTGGCAAGGAAAGAGAAAAGCAACATTATGGAAATGTAAGCTCGCAATAATGGTGTTCGCTCATCAGAAATCGCCCAGCAGCAAAGGCCGTAAATCCACAACAAAAGCTTTCTCCTCTCTCTTTATCAACTCACGACTCAGTGGCAGCGCTCCGAAGTGGGGCTCTCCAAAACTGCCACAGGGCAACGACATCGCCCCAAAACCGCAAACGTAGCAAAAAAGTTTCATATTTACTTTAGTGGTGATTTAATGGAGCCAGTCTGGACAGAGACATTGGATTAGTTATTTATAAATATTCAGTATTTCAAAACCAGGACCCCCAGTATTCTGAAATCACTGGAACTACTGAAACGGATCTCATTTAAATCAATGGAAATTATGTGGCTATACCTGCATGTGAGAGCCAGATCCTGTCACACCTCTGAAGCTAAGCAGGGCAAGGCCTGGTTAGGGCTGTGATGGGAGCCCTCTGGGAACACCAGGTGCCACAGTGGGGCAGCTGCGGCTGTAAATTGCCAAACTGTCATTGTGTCCTTAGTCAAGACCAAGCCCCGGCAATCCAACATGGCGGCGTATTCAAATGAATGGTTTGTGCTCAGTGGTGCTTTGTGTCGGCACGGTCGCTGACATATTAGCGGAACTCGCCTGGAACTCACAAAGATCTATGGGAAACTCGCCTGTATTTGGGCATCGTCTGGTCCTCCCGGTTCTGCGCAGTGGATGAACTCCCATGATGCGTTGCACGAAATGTGCGTGTGTGGCTGTCATGCACGCTCAAAGAGGGGCTCGCCCGCGCTCTGACCAATCAGAGCGGGAGCCAGATGGGCAGAGTTTGTGGCACTAAAGTGTGGATTTAAAGAAAACCAAAGGATTTAAGAAGAAAAGCAGTTCAGGATGACAAGGGACACTAAAATCCCCACAAAATCTGATCTTTATGAAAGCTGTAGGTTCTCTGTCAGCTGAATTTAGTCTGGTTTAGTCTGCAGTACCGCGAGAATCCCCCGAGCACATGAGTTCTTCAGCTCCAAGCTAGTAATACCCTATCCAGTTATTATAATAGATCCATGGTCAAGACACTTCACCCATAGGTGAGCATGAGTCTGGTGTGTGCATGGATGGTTGGTGGTGGTCAGAGGGGCCAATGACACACTGGTTGCCTCGCTTTGTCAGTGTGCCCCGGAGCAGTGGCTACAGTAGAAGTTTATCATCATTGTGTATGGAGTGAATAAATGTGAAGCATCGTTGAGTGTCCAAACAAGAGCTATATGAAACCGATGCATTATTATTATTCTTAAAACATCTCAAAAGTGCAGGGTTATTAGAGGGCAGTGCAGATGAGCGTTCTGATGGAATGATACAGAGAAAGACCACTTTTATTCAATAATAATGGATCGGTTTTATATAATCCTTTTCAGGACACCCAAAGACGCTTCACATGTCATTATTCTTTCACTCTGTACACTTCGGTGATAAACTACTGCTGTAGCCACAACTTCCCTGGGGCACACTGAAAAAAGCGAGGCAACTAGTCTGTGCCATCGGCCCCTCCCACCACCACACCAGACTCATTCTAGGCAAAGTGGGGGAAGTGTCTTGCCTAAGGACACAACGACAGCTTGGCATTTTATAGCCGCTCCACTGTGGCAACTGATGTTCCCAGAGGTCTCCCATCACCATATTAACCAGACCCGGCCCTGCACAGCCTCAGAGGTCTGACTGGATCTGGCTTTCACATGCAAGTATGGTCATTTAGATTCAATCTGTTCTCTGAAATCAGCCCCTTCTGAAAAAAATATACAGTATATATGTATTTTGACTCTCATCTGTTGCCTCCTTGGATAAAAGTGGGGTGTATGCGTCATCACATTTACTTGGCTCTTAAGACAGAGCAGCTCCGCGACACTCTGGTGTGAGAGCAGATGCTGTGAGTGATGCTTCCTGGAGGAGGGACATGACAGATGTGAGCAGCTGGAGCAGGTTCACCTCAGTCAAAGCCACACTCTCGTCTCATCCATCACCGCAGTCAGCCTTTTACAGACGACTCCACACAAAGCAGCACTAGTCGGTAAACAAACTGTGCACTTTTACAAAAGACTTTCTCAGACGTTTCATGGCCACTGGTCCGTCATGTTCTCTGCTGAAAAGTTACAGGCTGTCACCACAAAGTTACGGGCTGTCAACACATCCTCACAGCTCCCGACAAACAAGGGAGTCTTCAAATAATTTGTGGAAGATAATCAGTTGAAGGCTAAATCCCCAAAATAAAATATCCGTCTATATTGGAGACAGCAGCAATGTGTAGAAACATAGGGCTGCCTGTTAGCAGTGAGTTAGCAAACACAGTGGAACACATTCTAGTAAATAGAAAATGTTGTTATTCTATTTGTGTAATAGGTTGATATTAAACTGGCAAAGGAATGGCAATACTTGTAATACCGAGAAACAAACAATAAAACTCAAAATATATTCAGCATCTGAGAAGCTAGGTTCAAGAAGGGAAATAAACACACTTTTACTGTGCATTTCCCACAATACATTCAGATACAGACAGAGATTTTTTGTCAGTTCTCTAAGACGATATTGTATGGCATTGTAGTTTGAGATGATAAAAGCTTTTACTTTGTCCAACCCCTTTAATTAGTATTTGTTATTTGTTTATGTGAATCAAAATAAATCATTACTTATACTGCTAACAGATTCTGTGAATATTGGTAAATCTGTTAATCTAATTTGTGATGCGACTGTAGTGATTTTGGGTGACACAATAATAGTTTTTACTTGGTGTTGAGTGGCATGCGTTCGTAGCAGCATAGCATTGAGTGCAAAACTGAATTTTTTAACCAATGGCTACAGTAGTGAAAGCAGAACAATGATAACTTTCAAAACCTTGCCCCTGCCCTATTTTGCATGGGTTTTAGGGCTGAAAAGCGGAAGTGCGAGATTTTGCGAGATTTCCACCAGCGGATACAAACAAACCACACGTGCCAGTTGTAAGGTGCTAAGATCGCCGACTTTTTCTTTGTTGTTTTGGACAAATTTCGTCTCTGGGACAAAAAAACTGAGTGAGCGGTCGGAATTAGCTGTGAAGTCTGGCCATGTCCTGAAGTTTCTATGTGACGGGGAGATGAGAAAGGTGCAGGGCCGTGTTCGAATTCATTGCTTTTTAATCCATTATTATGCATCAGAAAGAAAATATAGAACCACTATTCCCATGCAAATAAATTGATGTTGAAACTTACAGCTGTCTTTGCTGCTTTGATAATAAGCCAATGTACATGAATGATCAGTTTTCTATCTGTTCACTGTAGCAACCATCTCCACTTCACTCTCATTGGCAGCTTCACATTGGGCCTTTTTCCTTTTTGCTGTGCTGTCAAAAATAACATGATGTAGTTGGGTTACCTATTCATTTAATACTAATGATTGTCCGTTTTCTGTTATATTTGAACATTTGTTAAATGTTTTTTAATATGCATTGTTCTTCCTTTATCTCTCAAATAAATAAATACATTCATCCTGTGTGAGATCAATCTTATCTTATCTTAAAATACAAGCCACAGTTAAAGGCTCGGCCGCGCACTATTTACAGGTTAGCATTAGCTACAAGCTAGCTTGAATACATATTCAAGGTAACCGTCTGTAAAATCAGACATAATGTTTTATCAGAACTGCATAGCTTTTCCCACAGCTTTAGTTGGTCTTTGGGAAACCTAAAAAATGAGCATGCGTTGCGTAAACTTTGATGATTACTGCCGAAAACAAAGCAGAGCATTTTGCAGCATTCCTTTAAACCGCCTTTTCGAACAGCTGGCGGTTTGTTTGTATCCGAGCAATGAACCGGAAGTGCTTCTGGGACGAGACTTTCCAGGCCTATGGTAAACACATGCTAAAATCTAACTATGTAACTGGCCGTTGTGCTTTCTGGTAGTTCATTAACTAATTAGAATGGTGAGTGTGGTCAGAATGCACATTATTTAATGTACAAAAAACTTGCATACATGAGCCTTTTACACTAAACCTAAATATCTACTGTTGCTGCAGCCTGACATCAAGAAGGGCATTGGTCATATGAATGATGTCTACTGTATAGTCTCCTGACCTGTGCGCATGCTCCAGTGCGCGCTGGCGTTGCTTGGTCTTGAGCTGAGCCTCCACCAGACGGCTGTGGATGTGGCTCAGCACCAGGTTCAGGTCCTCTGTGTCTGCACTGAGCATGTCCTCCAGTATCCTGCCTTCTGACGCCAGCTACACAACACATACACAACAAAAATGTTTTTGTGTGTGTGTGACAATATTGCAGTTTCAAGGCCTACCAGAGCCATTTCCCAAGCTAGTCCTCTCCGCTTCACTGCAGCCCAAAAAAAAGTTTACCAAAGAATACACAGCGTGTGAACCGGCTCATATTCACTACAAACATCTGTGTCTGAGCCACCCTCGCTGTGTGAAAGCCATTGGAGGGAACGGGGGTCACTAAGAAACACTGAGAGCATTACACTAATAAACCCGCCGGGACCAGTCCAGGCTTGGCTCAAGATCTTCAGCTCTCAGGTATTTCCTTCCAGCTGCTGTCAGACTGTACAACAAACAATGAGGACTAATGAACACTGCTGACTTGACCTCACATTATATTGTTTCAGTGCAATAATTGTAAGAATGTGCAATATGGGACCCCATATGTTATGCACAATACGCCAATATATACTGTATGTTGGACAATATGCACACATACTTGTGGTGCAGATACAGTCAGAGTACGTTAAAGAAGCAGCAGTTTGCATACAATGATGCACTTAGAATTTTACTGAAAGTCCTTCTTTGGACTAGTGCCAGCTCACTGTTTGTTCTTAATAATGTCCCCACTCTGAATGCTGTGATCAGAAATTGTATTTATAAGTTCATGGAATGCTCTGAGGTCTCTTTAAATGTAATAATGAATGTTTTTACTTCTCATGTACAGACCAGTGTTAGGCCCACCTCTGAACTCTGGACAAACTGTCTGTATAGAATTTTGTAAACATTGAATGTTTGTGTGTTGTCTGTCTCTTTTCTTGTTGTGTTTGTTTTATATGGACCATTTGTGTGTCTGAAATAAAGATGAAATAAATGTATTAAGCACTAAAGATAGAGTGGTGCTATACTTAATATTCACTCATATTGTATTGTTTTCTCCTCATTCCTACCATTCCGTATCTTGCGATGCAACAGTGGTCAGAATTTTTCCGCGTCTGCTGTAAACTGGGAAGAAAAATACTATTGACGCTAAAGAACTCCACATCAAACTTGAGTAAGCGCCGAGCAAACCATGAAAACAGGAGAGAACCATAGACTGTGTGCTTCCTGGAGAAGATATGCACAATTTTAACTTCAAGCTGCAACTCGTCCTTCAACCTTTTAAAACACTAGCATTGTCAACACAATCTATGGTCAACACTCAACTTCTAAACTAGTCCCTAAAAAGCGTCTCAGTGGACCTGCTGCTGCCTCCGACACGACACCGTCTCGCTGTAAGAACCTGGACTTGAGTGACGCTGTCAGAAAACATCAAAGACAGAAATAAATAGACTTAGGTGTACGTTATAGAAGAGATGCTGCTAGAATAGAATTGCCGTCTTTCAGAAACATTTGATGTAAAATGCCTGTATTGCACCCACCTTGAGGGCGGTGTTCAAGCAGCTGACGGCGTCCGCGTGTTTCCTGAGCCTGCAGTAGAGCCGAGCGTCCTGCAGCAGGATCTTCATCCCCTGGTTCAGAGGTGGTAGAAATTCCAGAGCTGGTTTTAGTTTGTACGTATGGTCAGCCAAACTCTGTGAGCTTTTGCAGTAAACTGGCAGCCTCTCAGATCCAAACGTGAGACTTTTCTCCACTGCATTTATCTTGTTGAGGGCGTTGTGAGAAGATTCGCTGACAGGACTCATGGGTTTGGTGGAATTAGAAAGGTCTTTGGGAATTTTTCCAAGGGATTTGATGCATGGTTGGTCTGATTGGCTTGAGGCAGACCTCTTCCGAAGCCGGCTAGAGATTAAGTCTTTCTTTGGACGGATAGAGGACAATCCGAAAGTACAACTGCGCTGATAGTCACACATGCTGCTCATCATGGACCTATCACAGAAGAAAGAGATATATGAAGGAGGCTTCAAGGGCAAAACACTTTTCATAAAGATCTATCCCTGGTTTGATTAGGCATATACAGAAGCATTAGAGATAATCATAAGAATATAAGACAAGTCACCATCACAATCAAATTCAATGTACAAAAGATAAAGCATTTTATTTTCCAAAGTTTTTTTTTCACATTTAGAAAACTGTTTCCTTGCAGCTAGCACAACACTCAAACCAACTAAATACCTTTGATAAAAAAACCTAATTACACCCACTGATGCATTGTTTTAGAAAAGTACAATATGTTAACACGAGAACTCCCAGAGCATTTGAGGTGCTTTTTGTTTTGGAAGCGTAAATAATAATAATAATGCATCGGTTTTATATAGCGCTTTTTTGGACACTCAAAGACGCTTCACATGTGTCATTATTCATTCACTCCATACACGGTGGTGATAAGCTACTACTGTAGCCACAGCTGCCCTGGGGCACACTGACAGAAGCGAGGCAACCAGTATGTGCCATCGGCCCCTCCGACCACCACCAACCATTCATACACACACCAGACTCATTATAGGCAATGGGGGTGAAGTGTCTTGCCTAAGGACACAACGGCAGTTTGGCACTTTACAGCCGCAGCCGCCCCACTGTGGCTGGTGTTCCCAGAGGTTAAGTGTCTTGCCAAGGACATAACGACAGTAGTCAGTGGGAGTCGATGGTGAAAGTCTTGAGCGGGGCTTGAACCCACGACCTTCTGGCTCAAAGGCCAACGCTCTACCAACTGAGCTACTGCCGCCTCAATTACCGCCTCAAACTACTCAGCTTTGTGCATTTATGGTTTTCCAAACATTGTGACTATTTCTTATGAAACCATATTTTACTTTTGAAATGTGAGAACTTCAACCTTTAAGTCTATTCCATTCATTTGAATGTAAAACTAAAATGATGCAATTTTTGGTCGCTTGGCAACCAACATTCTATGGCAGGTAAGACCCCTTGTCTTTGCGGTGCTGGTCCTGTACTGGTTCTGTACTGGTTCTGTCCTGGTTCTGCACTGATCCTGAACTGGTCCTAAACTGGTCCTGGGCTGGTTCTGAGCTGAGTCAGTCCTATTGTTGGCAACACACTGTTTACTTGCAAAAGTTTACATTTAGCCTTTAGTCTCTATCTGTATTTCAAATTATGGTAAACCAATTTTTGCACTTATTAATTATAAAAAAATAACTTCAAATTACTTATTTTTTTATAAAACTAGATGAGAACTGAAACCCTTTTTTTTCAGAACTCCATTGATTGGAACTTGGGAGTGTTGTGGTAGTAGTTTCAGAATTTTGTCTCAGTGTTAAATGTTTTTGAATATGCATATTTCATTGTAAATGTTCTACATGGACTCCCAGTATGTGGGCTGAGTGGATAGTACTCGCCCTTCTCAGCAAGAATGTCCTGGGTTCAAATCCCAGTTGGAACAGGGTCTTTCTGTGTGGAGTTTGCATGTTCTCCCCGTGCCTGCATAAGTTTCCTCCAGATGCTCCAGTTTCTAGTCCACTGTCATTTGGTGTCGTTGCTGTGTTTATTCAACGGCTCATTTTTTACCTTCAATTTTCTATATTCTTGCATTTTGAATCCTTCTTTAGTTTTATTCACGTGAAAAACAGATGGACATTAGCATTTTTGCTATAATCTCGCACATGTACACTGTATTTACAGATGTTCATTAACGTACAATGTCCCAATCAAATGCATGAATAAATACATAAAATTAGATTTTCTTGGAGAAACAACAGCATCCCAGCAGCCTCTCATAAAGTACGACAGTACGTAAAATATGCTAAACACAACAGATCTCCTGGAGAGTGGAGAAATAAGTACACACTGCTCACATTCATTGAGACTACTTACATGGCACTACAGATCTGTCACAGAAGGTTGTAAAGGAACAGCATTGGGCTCAGTGATATCAGCGTGTGGTTTGTAGGCTGCAGTTAGTTATTCAAAGTAATGTGTTTTTACAAGTTCCCCAACTTTATTTCCATAGTTACCACTAAAAGTTATTGCTCATTCAGTTCAAATGATGCAGCTTTTGTGCGAGCGCAGTCTCCAGAAATGTTGTATGTGTAAATAAGAGTCCGAATGAATGTCAAAAATATGTATGGATATATTTCTTTCCCTTAAATAATTTTCTTAAAATACTTGACTATATGAAGCATAACCATCTCCAAGACAACAAGCAAGCCCTCAATAGCCCGGGGAAATCTGTTAAATCCCATTTTCAGTGGCTACATAAAATGGATAAGATAAGATAACCTATGCTTTAGTGGCTATACCTGCATGTGAAAGCCAGATCCTAAGCAGGGCAGGTCTAGTTAGTATTGTGCTGGGAGACCTCGTGGAACACAGTGGGGCGGCTGTAAAGTGCCAAACTGTTGTTATGTCCTTAGGCAAGATATTTCACCCACATTGCCTAAAATGAGCGATGGTGTGTATGTGATTTTTGTGGATGTGTACAGTATGTGCACATCCACAACGCAAGGCTGTCGACAAGGCTGCCGACAAGGCACGCAAGGCTGTCGTCACATTCTGGTTGCTTCTTTTTGTGTTCCCAAGACAGCTGTGGCTACAGTAGTAGTTTATCACAATGAAAAATGACATGTGAAGCATCTTTGAGTGTCCAAAAAAGTGCTATAAAAAAAAAAACGATGCATTATAATTTTCATTATTATGAATCATTATTTCTCCCTCAGTGGGGAATAACAGTATCATTGTTGTGCATATTAAAGGAGAAATTACAGAAGACATAAGAGCATTTGATAATAATGTTTGATGTACATTGAACTCGGGATAAATAAAGATTCAAATCAGCATTCAGGATACGCAGACATTCAACAAGATCTGTTGTAAAAACTATTCACGCAGACAAATCCAATCACTGAAGTTTGAACATAACAAGGCGCCTTCAATGTCTCTTTATTCAGCTCTTCCTCAGGGACAAATATGAAGAAATGAACACTGTTTTTTATTCTTCTAAACTCTTCTTGCACAGGCTTAAACAGTGCATCACCTTCACCTGTACAATATCTGTCCACCGAAACATTTCTCCTCATTTGACCAGGATAATACAGCTGAATCTGTTTTTCAGCAGCGTCCTGTGCCTGCTGTTGGTGGTGGGGGAACTGGATAACTCTGAGGAAACATACTTAGACGATTGAAAAAAAGTCCTTATCTAAAAACAAAAAACGTCCTACTTATTGCTTACAAATCTGTTTGGTTGTATTTTCCACATGATTTCTATTATTTTTGACCTTTTGGGCTGGGAGCTGACTGGATGAGTCTACTACTTTTACTACTACAACTACAACTACAACAACAACTACTACTGCTACTACTATTACTACTACTACTACTACGCCAGAGCTGCCATGGGACAGACTGTCAGAAGCAAGGCAATCAGTATGTGCCACTTCTAATTATTCACTAACACACCAGACTCATACTTGGCAACAAACTGACAGTACTAACCCGGCCTGCCTCGCTTCAGAGGTCGGACGGGATCGGAAATACATTTTTAGGAAAGTGCACTTTTAGATTATTACACAATTTTATTTAATTTAATTATTACAAGACATTTCAAAATTGTCAGGTTTGGTGAAATTATTTACTAAGTATTTATATCAAGCCAAAGCCGGTGTTTGAAGATTCAGTGATGTACAATCCTGGTTTAATTCCAAAAGTTGAAATTCAAATCTTTGAATCTATGAATAGTCACATTTCAGCGTGAAATGAGCAGCTGCCGGCCCACATTAGCCAGTTTGATATCTTATTTACATCTAATGTGGTTCAGGCTGGTGTTTATCGGCCTGTCGAGTCAGTGGCAGTGAAATGCAGGTGGGACAGGGGCAGCTGGGACAGAGACAGGACTCCAACAGAACACCTCCACAGCAGCTGTTCACACAAGCTAAACTCCACAGGCAAAGATGGAGAGATTTTGTTCAAGGCGACAAAAGCTTTTGACCATGATTCAGCCCTTGCTAATTGAATACAATTTTTTATCTTAAAAGCAATTCATGCATGTGTGAGTAAGTAATGTCAATGTCACATTTAATTGTTTAGCACATTTACAACACCAGCTGCCCAAAGTGGTACACATAAACAAAAGCAAAGTGAATGAAAAACACCACGGAATACATGTCAAATATAAAACACTAGAAATTAGCTGGTGATAACCCTTTAGCGTTCACTCCTAGAATAAAACAATGTCAATTAATAATTTGTTTTTTGTTTTAGCCCCTTGTTTTTTTTATTTTTTGTTTGAGATGCAATTTGATGGTAAAAGTGTCCAAAGCTATGTGATAGAGATGCCCCAATGAGGTAGATGTCTGTTCCAGGCATGCTTCAAGTAGATATTGACTAAAAACTTAATCCACCAAATGGTTGTGGAAACCATTAAAGGGTTACAAGGCAAGTTATTCAAATGTGTCTTCAGGCAGAATTAAAAAAGCCACTTGGATGTACAGATGTAAACTATTCCACCGCTTGGAAACAGCAACAGCAAAGGCTCACAGGGGTTTTGAAACGAGATCTGGGTATGTTCAACTAAAGTTGGTTTTATTACCTGACTGATCTTGTAGGAGCATTCAAAGATATTTTCTGTCAGATCTAATCCCTTTAAAAATGTTTAACAAAGCCTGAGAATGTGACAGGGAGCCCGTGAAGTGAGGCCAGCACAGGGGTAATGTGCTCTCTCTTCCGTGTCCCTGTGAGCAAGGGAGCAGCAGCATTCTATCAGGGACGTTCAACTCTTTTGGCTGGATACCTCATT